TAGACATAGTTAGAAAACTCCTTACTAAGTGCAATGATGCGAAAACAATAAATCCCAAAAACTTGCGTAACCAGTGGTGAAAAAAAGGTCTAAAAAAATTATGAATGAAAAAAATTATAATAGTAAAGACTTTAGCAATCAAAATTAAATATTAAAATTAACAAAAAAACGTTTGAAAGAAAAAAATAAGATGTAAAGGAAATTTTAGTAAAAATCGAATATAATCAAGAACTTACAGGAAATAAACATTTTTAAACTAACACCTTTTTACTACGAAAGTTGCAAACAAAATTAGGGAAAGATATTTTTGATAAAAACGAAATAAAAATTAAAAGCTGTAAAATTAAATGGGTTCTTCATTAACATTGATAAAAATTTAACCAAAAAAATAAACCCAGGAAGTAAATCGTTTAGTTCTTTCTTGAAATAGCTTGCTCCGTGATGGATGAGTCGATCAGCTCAAAACACGCTAAAAACAAGTAAGCTATTTCCGTTGCTAATCAATAAATATGAATTAATATAAATAGAGAAATTAAATGATGATTTTAGAAATCATTACTTAGAGAGCCGACAACACGGAAGAGGGGGGGTTAGACAGGGGACTACGACCCCCCACTTATTTTCTAAAGCACTTTTTTTTAAAATTTCTTGATGTAGGGCAAATATTTTTAGAAATTAACAATTGTACCCCCAGAGCCATCCCGAATAGATTTCAATTGGGGAGGGGGGCGTTGACATATCTGTTTTTGCCCGGCTAAAACCAAAAAAAAATTTTTTGCCGACTAACTATTCTAAAAAAAAAGGTCCTTGTTAGCCGACAGCCAACTATAGATCCGATTTTGCCGACCTCAATGTCCAATTTGCCGACTAATAAAATTCGTAGGGGGATTAGACACCCCCTACGAATGAAGGGGCACACAGGGTCGTTCCCTTGATACAAGCGTGTGTGCCCCTCCACTTCGAAACTCGCGTGGCTCATATATATATATATATATATATATATATATATATATATATATATATATATATATATATATATATATATATATATATATATATATATATATATATATATATATATATATATATATTATATATTATTATTATTATTATTATTATTATTATTATTGCTATTATTGTTATTATTATTATTATTATTATTATTACGGTTATATTTTGTTAGCTTTTTTAATACGTATTATTTTTGAACCTCCTGCATGTTCTATTCTTTTTCCTTTTATTTTGCTTTAAAGTATCTATAAAACTCGAATGTATAAAATTTTTTTTGTGTAAATGAATTTATGACGCAAAGATATATTTTATATAAATAGATTATAAATATATATATATATATATATATATATATATATATATATATATATATATATATATATATATATATATATATATATATATATATATATATATATATATATATATATATTATTTTATAATAAAGTTTATGTGGATTCTTTTAACTTTTTTAAGCTTTGTCGGTAGTGCGCACGAAACTCCAAAGACTGCATGCTTGTCATATTATAAAATATCGTCATAAATCATGGCTTTCAACATAAAACATGTGTAATCAAAAGTTAGGAATACCAATATGATGTATCACGTTTGCCCAAATTTGAATTTGATAAAAAAAAAAAAAATTATTATTAGGCTAAACCAGATGTTGTATTTGCAACACATCTTGCTTAAGTTCCTTTTGTTTAGATGAAATTGAAAATATCCGGCTTATTTTCAGCATTTATTAAATATTTTTGCAAGTCTTCAGAATATTTTACTGCTCCAATCAACGGTTGTAAACTATTGCTTTGGGTTCTTTTTTTATATATATTCCTGGTAATCGTCCCACTCTGTATTTATTCAAAATGTCCAAATAATGCTAATTTATGTCATAATTATGGCTTTAATTATGTTTTAAATACAAAAGATTTTTCTTACACAATTGTGCCAGATAAAAGTTTTGCCTATATATAGTGAATTTTTGCTTATATTGTGAATTAATAAAGTCTTAAATTTTTACATAACGTGAAGAGTTCACGTTATGTAAAAATTTTTTAGTGAACGCTTTAAACTTTTACTGCCTCTTTGATTCCAGCTCAAAGACAGAAGTAACAGTTGCATCAACTAACTATACTTAATTATTTAGTGTTATAAGTTCGTCACTGAATTTCTCATATGGAGTGCCACTACTGACTAAAACATCAAACAAATTTTTTACAAAAAATCAAAATTGATGTTAAGAGGTATGGCCTTCTTTGTGATGAGGATGCCCTTCTTTGTAAAAATTTTGTCTACTTGTGAGCTTGATTAATAATGATTGGGAAAAAGTGTCTGCTGATCTGCACTTTTCTAACAAGAATCTATTTGCTTGAAGGGTGTTCAGATCTCAGGTGATTTTTGTAAAATATTTATCATAGTTTGGTAATCCATAGCAAAAAAACTGTTGCTAACCTCCCGAGGTATTCATTGATAAAACCAAATTTCTGTTCGTGATGTAAATGAGGATGCATAAAAAATCAACAGCTTATATTTGAAAATGCTATCAATATTACATAAAACTTATTAAAATACAAACAATAAAAGCATATATAAATATATACATTAAATTAAAAAAATAATAAAACTTACGCATCAATTTTAAACATTATTATACTGAAGATCCCTTGGATATTGATTTTTAGAATTAAAAAATCAATGTTTAAAGATTGCATCGTTCATTTATGCTAAGTTATGCTAACTTTTAAAATACTTTTTTTATAGCGTTTTTTGCCCACTTCTAAACTTTTTTTTTTTTTTTTTTTAATTTCCAATTTAGTTTACAAAAGCCATTCGTTTTGAAAAGCAAGACTTTTCAATCCTGCTCTAATAAAATTAATATTGATGCTAGAGTATCAATCTTTCAAACAACAGTACAAACTCTGATTCAATCTGAAATCCAGTATGCACATCCAAGTTCCATCATCCAGTTGTATAAATCCATAGCAGCTCCGACGCTTACTATATACTAAAGTATAGAGTTCTGTGAAAAAAAAATTTTAAACAATAAAAAAACTTGACAAACTCGGAAGGAATACAGTTAAATCATTTTTTAATGTCTCTAAGCAGTGCCGGATAGCCCCGGGCCCCGCAAATTTTACAGTGTATACAGTTAAATCATTTTTTAATGTATAATAAAAAGTATATAAACTTTCTATTTAAAGTTTAGGAAATGTCAACTAAACAGTAAAACAAAATAAAACTATTTTTATCTGCATTTTAAACAATAAATTAACTTTTAAAATCATTTATTTCCAACTTAATTAATTTTGAGTTAAATTATTTAACTGAAAAATTTAAACCTATTTGGATGATATGAACGAGTTATGCAACATTCATAGATTAGATTTAAAAAACTTAATGCTGGTTAAAAAGAAAGTTAAAATTAGGGATTCAGAAAATGTAATTCCTGAAGACACTCTTCAAATTTTGGTACAAAAAGTACTATTGAAAAAAATATTCCTAAATGCTCTTTTTATTTTATTTTTATCTTCTTTTATTCTTGCTTGATTTTAAACTATATTTTTTTGTTTGTATTTTTTTCTTGTAAACATATTTACGGAGGCTGATTGATAAAATCTTCTTAAACGCCGCCTTCTTTACCAAGATCGCTAATATGGCTAGATCAGAAATGAACCTTGGATCTCTCGATTCGGAGAAAACGACTCTACCTTCTACACCACGGCTGCTCAGCATTAACGTATATTCTAAATTTCATAAGCATTATTATTTGTTTATGTAAAATTTTAATAATGTTTGATTTTATCATTACAACACATTCATTTTAAAATAGAGACAAACATCTTTGTTTTGTATATCTTGGCTCCTTAATGAAATTGCCGTATGAAATTTCTATGAGGGAAATTAAGTCTTTTAAAGACATTACTTTGCTCATAAAATTTGTAAACCAATTTTAAATAGATTTTAAACAAGTTTAAGAGAAACTACTTTGTGTACATGACAAATGATTTCTTTGTTTACTTCACTCTCTCTTGTTTTCTAACATTTGTTTGTGTTTTTGTTAAAAGAATTTAGATTTTTAAATGTAGCTTTATTTTATTGTAAAAACTTTAAAATATCATTTGCGTTTTGTAGTTTAAGGGTTGAATTGGTGTAGAAGTGTGGGCTTGTTATTTACTTCGGAGTCTTTATATCTTTTTAATGTTTGCAAAAGATCTTAAAACTTTCTTAAAAAAAAAAAAAGGTTCTCAAATTTCTATCTAGCCCTCTGATTGTAGTTTATTGAATAGAATTTATTGTTAGTTCTCAGTAGAAGACAATTTTCAAATATGAGGAACATTTAAAAGAACGTTTGTAATTTATTTGTTTAGTTCCATTCTTTTTTGCAAACAAAAAAGAGGCGGATTCTATGAAGGGAACTAATAAAAGTCCCATAAAGGCGGATTCAAGTACCGCTAATTTAAAAGGTGGAATGTCTTATGGAAGAAAGCTAGTCTTCATAAATTTTTTCAGATAACACTCTTCAATTTAATTGAGATATTCTTATCCAAAGTTCAACTATATCAAAAAAAGATAAGATTGAAAAAAAAACCATAAGAAAAAAAAAAAGTTTTTATAACACTTTTAATAACACTTTAATGTTATTAAAAGTAAAAATTACTTATAATAATAAATTAAATTAAAATAAATAAAATTAAATATAAATTACTATAAATAACACTTTAATATTATTGAAAGTTAAAGTAAAATTTGTAGCAATAAGAAATTATGCAGAATTATAAAAATGTATAATTGTTCTAACTATTATATATGGGTATTAAATGATGCGTCTTTTGCACACTTTTTCGAATCCAGAATCTGGATCTGCTTCTGTTCACTTTTAAAACAATTGTACTACGAGACAATAGACATGTCGGCCAACTTCACTCAATATTTTCTTTTTTTAATTGGATGTAATCCTCTAAATTGTTGCTTTAATAATGGTGACGAAAGTGCCCAGCGTTGAAAACGTCGCCATTTTAAATAAATGAATCGAAAAGATTTATTTTATGGAACTAAGTTTTTTTTTCCGTTTGTGTTTGTTTTGTTGACGTTTGCCTAAGGAAAATCTGTAGGTTTAATTAATCATTAAGTTTGAAGCTTAAATTTAGATGATACCTAATTTTAAAATGATATACTATGAATAAGCTGAAATCGCCTGAAAATGTGGACTTTTTGGCAGATTGCTCCACGAATGTTTTCTTTTTGGTAAGTTTGATTATGTACGTATATTTTTATTCTTAAATACTCTTGTAAGAGATTCTTGAACGTATTATTTGGGTAAATTATTATTGTTACTAATTTAAGAAATTTCATAGTCAAAATGTTTTTTGTAGATGATATTGATTTTCTCTTTATATATGTTTGTAAACAAACTTTATTACATCTTTATAAATGTTTCGATTAAAGTATTTTATTTACCCTAAAGGCTAAATTGTAGAACAAAAAATGCCAATGCTTTAAAATAGGATAAGTCAATACATGCAAACATTTTAAAGATACAATTGAAAGAAAATATGAAATATTATTTCCAGACTTAATATTGATACTGTGTAATAAAAAGAAATTTATAATAGTTTATCATATGTTTATATTGGCTATAATTTATGTCCTGTATGTTATTACAAACTTTTTAATAATGTTGCACATTTTGATAAATTTGAATTAGCCTTATTTATGATATACTATCTGATACATTTTGTACTTTCATTGTATCAATATATATCTGTTAAGGTTTATTGTTATCTGTTAAGTTAAGGTCTCTTATCTACATTTTTAGTTGTGTTAAAACAGAATTTGAATTTTAGAATAATGAATGTGAATATATATGTTGGATATAATTCACAAGGCATTTTTATGACTTACTAGTTTATGGGATATAGTGATGGTAAACTTTGTATTAATACTTATTCAGAGGTTTTGAGCTTATTTTTATCTGTAGATTCAAGCTATTATTTTGTTTGAATTTTGATCATGAGAAAAATAATAAATATTTTTGTTATTCATTATTTATATTATTGAATATTTCAGTTTAATACAATATTTTTCATTAATAACATAGAGATTATTTGTAAAACAGGATAAAATCTCAAAACTTTTTAAATTTAAACCTATTTAATAGTTTAAAAAATATTATCAGCGAAAATATATGTCAAGTTTTTTGTAAATATGATTTCAAAAAGGTATTTTATTACAATAATAAAAATAAGTGTGCATTTAAATACTTCAAGTGAAGTTTAGATTTTTATACAATTTTTCCTAACATTTTTTACTATGAGTGTATATTTCTATATTATCTATATTTCAATATATATTCATTATAATGCCCAATGTGTTCAGATATTGAATAAGTCTACTCTTTTCTTTATATTAATTGCTGTTAATTATGTTAATTATCCCACTTTGATCAAAAAAGCTTTATCTGTATCTTTTTTTTCACTATTGTTATGCATTCTTATTGTCAGCCTTTGGAATTAGGTTGGCAATTCTTTGCCAACCTCAAACATTTTTAGGTCACAATTCTGAGGGTTGACCATAATTCTGTAGGTTGTATAATAATAATAATAATAATAATAATAATAATAATAATAATAATATTTATTTGCATTAAAAAAATCGTCGTTATCGGGGTGTCTAGGCAAAACGAATATGAATGAACAGTCAAAGACTTACTTCTAAAACATATGTGGAAACATTTTTTGAATGGTATTTTTTGTTGCCAGTAAGCTGTCCAATTTCAAACATCAATAAAGACTCATCAGAAAGATTTCTGATGAGTTTTTATTAATGAAACACATTAATATCAAACATCAATAAAGACTCATCAGAAAGATTTCTGATGAGTCTTTATTGATGAAACACAGTGTTAAATGAAAAATATTTTGCAAAGTGATTTTCTACAAATTTATATATATATATATATATATATATATATATATATATATATATATATATATATATATATATATATATATATATAAATTTGTAGAAAATCACTTTGCAAAATATTTTTCATTTAACACTGTGTTTCATCAATAAAGACTCATCAGAAATCTTTCTGATGAGTCTTTATTGATGTTTGATATTAATGTGTTTCATTAATGAGTCTTTATTGATGAAACACATAATATCAAACATCAATAAAGACTCATCAGAAAGATTTCTGATGAGTTTTTATTGATGAAACATATTAATATCAAACATCAATAAAGACTCATCAGAAAGATTTCTGATGAGTCTTTATTGATGAAACACAGTGTTAAATGAAAAATATTTTGCAAAGTGATTTTCTACTAATTTATATATATATATATATATATATATATATATATATATATATATATATATATATTTATATATATATATATATATATATTTATATATATATATATATATTTTTTAAAACAGGCTATTTGTCAGTCAATGTAGCAGCACTCCGTTGCGAGTCAGGCTATAAGATAGTCGATGTAGAAACACTCCTTTGTAGCAGCAGGCTATAAGATAGTCGATGTAGCAACATTTACGCATGTTTTAAAAATGTTTTTAAATAAAACAAAATCAAAAACACCACTATTTAAAAAAAACTTTCTAGTCGTTATTATTGCGGTTTTTTAAAAATTTTTTAAAAACAATAAAATTTAATGTACTTCCGCATTAATTTAATTGCTTTGACATTTCAACGACAATCAAATACAGCTTAAGAGAGGAGGTAATTAAAATTGTAGTCGAAAGAGACTTTTTTTACATTAAAAGACTCTTTCGACTACACTATAAGGATATATATATATATGTGTGTATATATATATATATATATATATATATATATATATATATATATATATATATATATATATATATATATATATATATATATATATATATATATATATATATATATATATATATATATAGAGAGAGAGAGAGAGAGAGAGAGAGAGAGATAGAGAGAGAGAGAATGAGAGGCTTGGCCAGGAAGGCGTGCGATTTCAAGCCTTTAAATCAGCACGCAAATAATATTTTGTTTTGATTATTTAACCACGGTTTTTAAAAAATGCGCTGAAAAAAATGGTTTTTAATTACATTGAAAATAAATAACTTCAAAATGTTTGTCTTTACTGACGTTTTTATATTAGCAAAACATTTTAAAATAAAGTAGCTAATAATTTTAATTAAAATATTAACGAGAATTATATAAATTTTTATTTATATTATTTATTTATATAATATTTTTTTGTAATTAAAATTAAAAAAATTAAAATTATTAAAATTTTTTTTTTAATTTTATAAGCGACAACTTTAAACAGTGATGGTCTCTTTAATAAACATTTATATATGAGTTATTAAAGTTAATTTACTTGAAAAGTAGAAAGTTTTGTTAATAAGAAAAATATATATATTTTAGAAAGCCATTTGAATTAAATAACTTTGATCTTTACTTATGTTTTTATATTATTGAAGCGCATTTTGAAAAAAGTCAAGTCACTGCTAATGATTTTTTATAAAAATCTTAATGAATAAGATATTTATGTTTTTTAAATTTATATAAGTATGTATTTTTTATTATAAATGTTTTTGAATATAAAAAAAATTGTATCATATTTTTAAATAAATGATTTAATTATTTTTTCTTTTGTTTATGTTACTGTGAAGAATTGTTAAGATTCCTTTTTTTAACTTTTAAATGTGCGCGTTTATTAAACAATTGTTAGATATAAGTTGTTACTTTATTTAATAAGGGTTTTGCATAACATTGTATTATAAAAGCATTAGTAAAGATAAACAATTCAAAGTTATTTATTCCCATCGTAATTTAAATAATCTTATTGTTATAGTTTTTATTTATTTTAGTTAAATTTTAATTTTTTCAATTTTAGTTTTAGTTGAGTTATTTAAATTTTATTCTTTGTTATTTTTTTAACAAAGATTTATTTGCTTCTTTTATAATTTTTTTTTTTCTTTTAAGTTTCTTCATAGAGTTGAGATTTTTTGAAATTTTTTCAGCGCACTTTTAAAATGTATACAAGCTTTCAAAGCATATTAACAGCCGTGGTCAAGTTTTCAAAATCAAATAGTATTTGTGTGGTCATATCATGACGGGAAATCGCACACCTTAAAGGCCAAGCCTATATATATACATATATACATATATATATATATATATATATATATATATATATATATATATATATATATATATATATATATATATATATATATATATATATATATATATATATATATATATATATATATATATATATATATATATATATATATGTATATATATATATATATATATATATATATATATATATATATATATATATATATATATATATATATATATATATATACATACATATATATCCACACATACATATATATATAATTTATATATATTGGTCAGGAATGCAGAGTCCCAAAAAGGGCTCCTGATTTGAAAGTCACAAAGCGATTACTTTATCCTAGTTTTTGGTATCCAGGAGCTCTAAATGTATAAATAAGTTTTGTTTTTCATTTTTTGAACACAGAGTCCTTAGGTATAATGGCGGCAAAGACTCCAGGGCACCGGGCCTAAAAGCAGTAAGTTTAAAATCATTAAATCTCATGAATTTCTTTCTTATAGCAGATCATAAGTCAACATATATGTTTAGAGCTTCTGGACACTACAGACTTGGAAAAAGTAGAGATTTATAGCCGGAGTCCTTTTGAGACTCCGCACCCCTGATATTGGTTTTTTCAATAAACGTTCCATTAACACAAATATTTTAAAATCTTTTAAATAAAATAATTTAATGATTGGAGTATCACATTTGACAATTATCTGATAACAGATGTTATATATATTGACTTTTAAAAGGCATTCGATTCCATATCTCATTCAAAGCTATTATTTAAATTTTCATTATACAATATACATATATTTTTTGCATCCTTTTGTGTTTTCTCTGCATTTCTCACAAACAGAACTAAACAAGTTAAGATTAATAGTTCTTTATCAGATGCGATTTGAATTGTTAGTATTGTACCTCAGGCTAGTGTGCTGGGAACAACTTTGTTTTTATTTTTTTTAATAACTTATTATCTGTAGTATACAATCTTGAATGTATTATAAAGCTTTATGCTGATGACTTTAAGTTATACAGCTTATATCATAATACAGGCTTTGTTTTAGAGTATAAAGTGACACGCTATTTGTGTATGTGTTG